GTACACTATTAAAATGTTATTTTCAACACCTACTACTTATTTTAAAGTGTTTTCAGCATTTTTTCCCCCTTGAACATTTGCTATCCTTTTCCTGAAAATGTTTGTTTACATTCAGAACATATGTCAGAGCGTTCTGGGCAGTATAATGTTTCTTCCTTGTGCTTTTTTCCCCCTTTTCTTCTTTTTTTTTAGCTGAGCCATCCTGCCACCTGTTGGCAGCTCAGCGGCTGCTCAGCTCGGGCCAGGAATTGAACTGCTGTTGCTCAGAGATCAAACTCTTGAGCGAGCTCTTAACCAACTGAGCCGCTCGGCCGGCCCTCTTTTTTTTTTCTTTTAATAGATATTGTAGAATAAAGACATCTGTTGAATTAAGCAATTTCTGGAGCAAGTAGATTCTAGTAAGACTAATAGACTAATAAAATAATTAATTCATTGCAACTGGAGGGTGTGCCTTTTCCTTTATTCTTAGTCATAATTCTTTTCAAAGTGCCAAGAACACCAAAACAATCAACTCTAATGTAGAACACATACTAAGTTTGATTTCCTTATCATGCCCTGAGATTCATAGCAATTAATAAGAAAAATGTTAACATTGCAGCTTTTAACATATTCATTAACTATTTGACACCTTCACCTACTGATGTGCTTTACAGTTAGGGTTGTGATATCATGGCATGAAGATTCCACAAACTGTCATTATTTTGGTTTGTACTGCCAACTGTTGAGAATTAGGCAATTTCTATATACACAAATGAGTTTGGAAAAATTATGCAAATTAGGAAGTTATTTGTAAAATTGGTTATTCGACTGAATTTTAATGGATTGGTTGGTTCCCAGTTAATATCATCATTTAAGGTGTGTAGATATTGCCATAGTGTTTATTTATTAAACATATGCAATTATTTAGGTAAAAGTTTGGCTGGACTTTATTAACATGGAATTTCTAAATCCTGTAGTTTCTGGTTTAACTTGTTTTTGTGGAAAATAATGGGAGCACGTGGTCCTTTTAGCTTCTTTCTTTTCCTCGTCTCTATCTTGGCCCTTGCCTGCCTTTCTTCTTGCTGGCTTGTACTTAGAAACTGCCATGTTCTGTTAGTGACATTAAGTCTGCTGCTGTGGGAGTAAGTAGAATTTTATGAGGCTCAAGATCAAACTGATTGTGAATAGTGCAGAGTAAGGAACTGGAGAGAAGTCAGATTACAAGGAGGGGGGAAAGGGAGAGATTTGAGATGCTCACACAAACACAGAAAGCCTTCAGAATTAGCAGGAAAGGAGGAAAAAATGAAAAACAAAACCTCAAATCAAGATTGTCAATGGAAATATACGTGTTTGCATTCCAGGTATGATTTGGAAAAGGAACAAAAGTTTATCTTTAATTAAAAAAGAATATCAGCTGTAATTTTCTAAGTCTAGAAAGCAAAACTTATCCATACCTCACATACAATGAACCCTTCCATTGTTAGCTAAGAAGTGTTGCCATTAAATATAACTGTCATTGGAAAGAAAATTAAACTCTCTTTCTAAGGTGATATTTATAAAAAACAGGACAACTGAAGATGATAAGGTTTTTCTCCCCTGAGATCTAATTATTTAATCAAAAACGTGATTGATTTCTTTTGCTCAGGCTAGCAGCCATATTGGAGCAGCAGCCAATCTTCATTGGCCTTACTTAGGATAATTGCTAAACACAACATGAGTGGTCAGTCCTTATTTTATTTGACCTGTCAGCCACATTTGATCCTACTGATCACTCCTTTCATCTTGAGACCTCCCTTCACTTCCAACATACTTCACTGTCCTGGTTTTTCTCATTCTTTATTGGCCCCTCATTCTCAGTCTTTTTTGATCCTGATGGGAGCTTCCAGGATCCTGTCCTTGGACTTTTGTTTGTCTCAGTCACATCTGGTGTCATGGCTATAAATATCATCTACCACTCTTTCTCCCCTTGAACTCTAGAGTTATTCATCCAACTGCATGCTTGACATCTCCACTTGGATGTCTTAGAGGTTTCTCAAACTTAACATGTCTGAATACAAATTCCCAATCTTGCCCCTGAGCCTACTCATCACACATGACCCATCTTGATTCATGGCAACTCCTTCCTTCCAACTCTCATGCTAAACACCATGGAGTAATTCTTAACTCCTCTCATCCATACTGCCTACCGAAACACGGAGTACCTTCTTGGCTTTAGGATAAAAACGTATCTGGAATTTAACCACTTCTTACCTCTGCCTTCCCCATTACCCTGGGCCCAGCTACCACCACTTCCTGTCTGGAGTGTTGTATCAGTCTTCGAACTGATTTTCCTGTTTTGGCCTTTCCTGCTCAGAAGCAGTCAGCTCTGTCCTTTAAAATGGAAGTCATGTAATGTCATGACTGTCCAAAACCTCCCCCAAACCTCCACTTTCACTGAGTAAAAGCTACATTTGTTTCCCACCTATTCATACCTTTTTACTTATTGTTAATTTTTATTCATTCTGGCACCCTGGCATCCTTACTGTCCCTTGGACATGCCTCTGATTAAGAACTTTTACATTTGCTCTTCAAATACATGGCTTGTCCCTTTATTTTCTTGAAGTCATTATTTAAATTTCACCTAGGGTGAGGGCTTCCCTGACCATTCTATTTAAAATTGCAACCCTCTCCATCTTCTCCATCGCCCCTGCATATACTGCATTTCCTTCCTTTGTTTTCTCTCTCTATCACCTTCTAACCTACTGGGTACTTATTTATCTTTCTGTCTCCCTACACTAGAATATAAGTTCTGCAAGGGCAGGTCCTTTGTTTTGTCCATTGCTGTAACCCCAATATTTAGCACAGTGTCTGTCACCTAGTAGGCATTCAATTAATGTGTTTTTTTTAAATGAATTGAGAATAGTAAATTATGATTGGTCAAAATAAATGAGATGATCTCCAGTATGTCATTTCTTGCTTGGATGAGAAGCAAAATGTGTGTGGTAAGGGGGAGGAGTTGCAGACAGCCGTTGGCATTCAGGTGGGAGTTTATACCCAAATGATCTAACCTCCCTGCTTCGTGGGTCCCATTATCTCCTCCTGAGTCAAATCAAAACTCTTCTTGAGTGCACCTTTTACTAGTAGTGAGGCTATTTTAGCATTCCATTAAAAACCATTTAAAATACAAAAACAAGGCTGTGTTGCTTTAACGCTGACCTTAGAAGACTCTCAGTTTTATAACTGTTTAGAGAAAATGTGGAAAGGCTGAATATGTTTGCTGGCCTCAATCTTTTTATTACTCATCTCTATAAAGAGGCTTTTAGGGACATATTAAAAGTTTCCATCTCTCTTGTCTCTTGCCTTCCTTCTCATCTTCCTTCGTTGCACCCCAAATGGTTGAAAGTAAGACCCTGAGCGCCTGGAGGGAACATGTTACTGTCAGAGCAGATGGGGATGGAGCTGGTCTAGAACCTTGGATCCTGCTCCAGAGTGGCTACTCAAATTACTGCTCTCTAACAGAGTGAGCTCATATGGGTCCACTATGACTAAGGACTCATTAGACTGTTGTTTCCCCTCAAGGAGAAGTTCTCACTTGGCTGCTTTACTTGTTTGTGCTTCTCCCATGTGTTTCTTCATGTTTGACTACAACTAAGATAAAAACTTTGCTTTTGAGAACAGGTGCCACAACCAAGGAGGCCAAAAAAGAAGAAGAAGAGAGAGAGAGAGAGTGGAGTATGGTGTGTTAAACTGAGAAAGCAGGGAGTTGGAGTTTTTTTCTAGACAAATGGAAAGCCAGTAATGACTTCATCCATTTCCTGTAATAAGGCAATAAATGGTCTGACCTTGAGGAACCTATTAAAGTATGCTTCCAAACACAGAGGCCATTTCTAGGGCTAGATGTAGAGTGGTATTTATCTTGATCTGTATTCTGAAACAAGGTAGTTTATAAACTATAAGGTAGCTTATAAAACCTTGGGAATATAAAGCTTTGCAAAATCTCCCAAATTGCTGGGAGTCTTGAAGTTCAATTTTCATGCCATATGAATTCTTTGTTGGTTCATGTCTTGGCTATTTAACATTCTTTAGAGACACCTGCATGATAGAAATTTAGCAAGAATTTTTGTGCAATTTTGTTACTTACAAATTTTTTTTTTTGTAAATAGAGGTAGAAAAATAGATGCTAAGAAGCAAACTACTTATATTATTATAGATGCCACAGGGGCCTCCTTTCATCAAGAGCTTAAAATATACTTATCTCATCAGTTCTGTTTTATGCATTTACTTAGTGATTTTTAACCGATTTGTTTTTCATAATTTGTTCCATCAGACTTCAACAGAAGCAATAATAATGATACAGTTAGAATCATAAAATGGCAGCATCTTTGAGCTCCAGGGGACTTTAGAAAACATCTAGATTAACCTTTATTTTATGGATGAGGAAAAGTGAAGATGGGCAGTGACTCACCCAAGGTCTTACTCTGATTTGCTGGTAGAGTTGGGTATCAAAAGCTGCCTCTCCTAATCTCTCAGCTATTCTCATCATTAAATCACAAAGAGGTTATTTTTCAAAATGAGGAAATAACATGAAGTTATTTCTCAAAATAGTCTTTCTGTATTTTTTGATCCTGTGGAAAAATTAAAATTATTATAAAGTTTGGAGTAACTCCAAAAAGCAAACCAAAAAACCCAAACTCATCAAGACCTACTGTATAGTCTGGAGAACTCAAAATCAAATCAGAATACCCCTGCGATTTTCATGGCATAGGACAACAAGGTTCTGCTTATATTAGCAGAAAAACCATGTTTATAAGTTAGATTCCTTTTAACTGTCTTTAAATGTCCAAAGAATTTAAGCTATATTAATATTTTCTTGGCATGCCCAATCCTGCCATACCATGGAGCTTTGTCCTGGAGAACACCACCTGGTGGCTGATATCTAGACAATGGAAATCCTGGGACACATTTTCATTTTCGATAAAAATGGCACAATGTTGTGATTGCACTTTGCAAATGTTTGTGATGATGCAAATCAGATGACATACCCAAGTAGGAACAGCCCTTGCTCAGGGGTCATTCTTAGTGAAGTGCAGCTTCACTCCTCCGATCATCAGAATGTTGGGTCCTTCTGGAAACTTTCTTTATCAGAGCTGGAAAAGATTGGTGGAAATGAGAAAATGATAAAGTAAGTAAAAGCTTAATCAAATGTGTCTGAATCTATGCTGTCTATTAAGCTATGTACAGTTCACTAAATGCTTTCACTGATGCGTACATGCATACGTGTGAACAAGCTGTTAGCAGGGTTCACCAACCATGGAAAATTTAGGTAAGATTGGCAATCCCCTCAATTTGTGGTGGCCCATTTTGCTATCCCAGGAGACTTGCTTCTTTCTGGCTGTCATTGACTCTCAGCCCTTCCTTCCTGAATTATTTCCATGTGGGTCATTTTACCCCATGCAGGTCAGGTCCATGTTTCATCAGAGGTGGAATTTCTTCCCTGTCTTTTGTTTTTGTGAAAGGCCACCCACACTAGACCTTGTAGTTACTGGCAGGTTTTATGGAGGATGAAAGACACAACAAACAAAAACCTGGAAATAGGATATTGAATATCCCTCGTCTTAGAAATCCATGATCCAACTCAGACCTCAACATTTGGGTGTTCTCAACTCTTCTGTTGTCTCCTTATTTCCATCTTGAGAGCAATCCCGATCTTTATAGTAGTGTTTTAGCCATTGTTATCTTATGCAGAATCCTTTGTTTTATTCTCTATTTCCTTGACTTGCTTGAGTCTAAAACAAAAAACAAAACCAAAAAACACCCAAAACAACCCAATGTGTCACTGAGTTATTTTTCTAGGAAAAGAAAATGTCCCTCCTGCAAGATGCCACTTGTTAAGATTTTATAAATAAATACATAAATAAATGGTTTCACCACACACACACACACACACACACACACACACACACACACACACCCCTACAATTAATATACAGCTCTGATTGCATCATGGTCCTGGTGTTAATTTTAGTCCTTCATTAAGGGTTGGTGAATGTTTTAGCCCCAGGTGGCTATGGGAAAGTTGCCGGCTGTTTTTTAAATCTGGGTCCTCTTCTTTTAATTGCCCAGATTCTACATCTTCAGTCAATCTCCTTTTGGATTTCATCCCCCTCAGATAAGTTTTTTCTTTTATATGGGCTACTGTACATACAAAATTCAATTTGTTTGCAATTGCTTAAGATCTGACTTCAATGTATACTTTTTGGTGTATAGTTCTAACTATTTCCTTTTACAACTTCTGCCCAGTTCCTTGCAAATTATGGGGGTGCATCTCTTTCAAGCACTTTCTGTCTACTCAGCTATATCTGCTTCTGGATTGACCTGTGGCAATGGGAATTTTGGCTGCTCTGGCTTCAGACTGAAAGAAATAAATTTCAGGCTGAGTGTTCCTTCATAAAACCTTCAGCTATTACTAACCTATTGTGTCTGCTTACATTCTGTTTTGTCCTAATCAATGTGATCACTGTTTTCAGAAACTGGATTCTGCTATTTAATTTTTTTTTTCCCACTGTATGGCAGGTATACCAGTAGGATGGGTTACTACTAAAATGAGTGGGTAGCTAGAAATACACCCAAACGATTATTATTACCTGAATGTCAAAACAAATCCCAACAAAAAGACACCCATTCTAGGCTCTTAAAGCATTGAATTATAAATGTTCAGGCATATTTTTGCTGTTTTTGCAGAATATTCCAGCTTCGAGGAGAGGGGGGTCTATTCATGGCAGAAAAACAATGGAATAATTTCTCTGTTCATGAAGGCAGCTAGAATATCAAGATTGGTTTAAATACAGGGGCAACAAATGAAATGCAATGTAGTTAGTGTTTTATTGATGATATTTCTCCAAAAATCAAAGTAATTCTTTTATGCCATCTGTAGAATTGAGGACAGGTATTAGTAAGGGTGATGAATTAGGATACACCTTTTTTTCTTGCTTTAGAAACATGTTCAGAATTCCAAGGTGTTGATAAGTCACATGCTTTCTATGAAGAAATATGGGTTGTGAAAAAAAATTTAATAAAGATTATTTGGATCTCTGTTCAGAGAAAAATCTTAGAGTAGCAATGTTGACATGGTCATAGAGATATGGATATATGAATGGATCTATCATGGTAAATGTGGACTTCTTGGCTAGGTTTCTTACTATTTCCCTAGCCTGCTCTCCTAATACTCGCTTGCAAGAAGTTTTCCTGGAGTCCTAGGCCAGTTGCTGAATCTTTTTCCTGCCTTTGCTCCCCCTATGACAGTAAACTCACCTTACATACCTATCCCATCATAGACTGTGTGAGAACTAAATGGAAGCTCTTTGTGGAACTGTTAGCTCTTTGAAAAGTGCTAGACAAATTAGTAGACACGGTTATTATGCTAAGATGTTCAGAAAATATCAATAGATCCATTAAATTTCAATTTATAACCTCTTCAAAGATACACAATCTTTTTTATGTTTGAGTTCCTGCCAGTATATTCCACTGAAAAATGTTTATGTATAAATTTATTTTGCATGTTATTATATTTCATTACATATCTCAGATTTATGGTTAAGGGTGATACTTTGTAGAAGATATGTACACATCATGCTCTATTCACATGCTGTTATATTCTGAGGAACAGTGGCTGGGCCAATGGTATTTAAACATTTCTTAATATCTGGCCCTATACCATTTTCCCACAGCTGATTATTTAACACAGAGAGGGTTAAAAAAAATTAATCAGCAATACCTGGATAGTGGTCACTTAGGTACTCATTTTATTTTATTTATTTATTTATTTATTTATTTATTTGATCAAACCATTTTATTGAGAGCCTTCGGGGGGAGGGTCGAAGGGCCAGGAGTACGATGCGATCCGACGTCTTCAGCCAGCGAGGATCTCTTCAGCTTCACAACCACCGAGAACGGTACTTGTTTTAATTTTCTCTTTTATCCTGATAGATACTTCATATATTTTTGGTATGTATTAAATCATTAAAAAAAGAAAATAGCAAGTCTCAAGTACTAAAAGCTATCATAAATGGAAATGAAAACTTAGGCATATTCTTTAGACTCTGTCTTTTACTCGTATTCCTAAACCCTTTCCATAAGACACTCAACTTCAATTGCTCCTCTTTGTGAGACACATTTCTGAAGCACATTTCCATTTCATTCCTGGCTGGAGAGATAGACGTTCAAATCTATTGTCTTCTGCTTGCCTGCTCTTCAGTGCTCTGACCTTGAGCAATTTGTTTGTTCCAGTTTCCTCAGTTGTAAAATAGGATAATAATCAAACATATCCATTTAGGGTGGTTGCAATGGTTACAAGAATTAGTCAATGCAAAATAGTATACCTAGAGCAATAAGCCCTCAATAAATGTTAGCTATTATTATTGGTATTTTATTTCCAGCTCTCCTACTGGTACGTCATGTGACCTCGAGCAAATTATTTAAATCTGTTAAATTCAGTTATCTCTGAATAAAAGAATTGAGCTAGACCAGTGGTTCTCAAACTTAAATGCGTACCAGAGTCACCTGGATGGCACAAACACCGATGTCTGGGCTCCATCTTAAGGTATCTGAGTCAGTAGATCTAAGATGGGGTCCAAAAATATATATTTCTAACAAATTCCCAGGTGAAGCTGCTGCTGCTGACCTGGAGACCACACTGTGAGAATCTTCAGTTTACTCTAAACAAAACGGTGGTTATTTCAATTAGCATATAGAAGAAATTGTCTAACTTAAATGAAGAAGAAAATCTACTCTTTCATCATGGGTTTATTCCCTGAGACATCAGTATTTCTTTACCAAGGTGTGTACTTATTTTGGGGACATCTTTTGGGGCACAGGTTGTGCAGCTTGTAGCAAAACAGCATAGTACATGCTGAAATATTCCCTTGGACTTTGCAGACTATTTTATACATTAGTTTTGCTGATTTATTTGATTATTGGAGAGTAGTGTGGACATCTTTCTTGCTTCCAGGGTGTTGCTATGACCTTTAAGGGGTGATACATCTCCTTCAATCCCAGCTCTGCCATTTATAAACTCTAGGACTTTGGGCAAGCTTCCCTAATTCTCTGTGCCCAGGTGTCTCTGTAACACGGGGATAATTGTAGAATCTACTTCATAGGGTTTTGAGCATTTATACAGGTAAAGTTATTTTACATAATTAGCACTCAAAAGGGGCCGTTACTAATCTAGTGTTTTAAAATATATTTTAAAATATTTGTAAATACTTTGAACATATTTCACTGTTATTTACGTATAAAGATATGTAAATTTTATTTTAAATAAAATAGATAAGCTAAAAATATATGACATAAATATATAAACCTTAATGTTAAAATGCTTAATGTGTGTTTAAGTTTTTCTCTGTGTTTCTGAAGGCAATTTATTTCCTTATGTGTTATTTAATACTTATAAAATACATTTATGTAATTACCTTGGTAGCTTTTGGAACAGTAGGATGGTGTATGACATTTCTTTTGTGTAGTGCCCACCACTTGTCACCGTTTCATACATAGAAACTTCTAGGTACACTTCTCACTTCTTCCATCATTTCTACACTTTTTCTCCACCTGCTGCATTCTTAGCAGCATGGACAGCCAGCCCCCACAAGGGAAAGAAATAAGCATATTGAGCCATTCCAAACCCAAAGGCAAAAATTACTAGCCAATGCAGAAAATAAAAGTGAGGATTTTTGTTGTCGTTGCTGCTTCTTTGGTGTTTGTATGTGTTTTGTTTTTGCCTGTATTCTCAACCCTGCTTCCCGCAGTGGGTGGGAGTGGGGATGGCGTCAGTTAGGGCTTAGTGACAGGATGGTGTTATCCTCTGTGTTGGAGGGGCTAAGAACAGGAAGAGATTTTCCAAGGCTGAGAAATGCAGAAACATCCCGGCTTGAAAACAGTTTGTTGTTGGTTGTTATAGCAGAATTGGGTATATTAGCTGGAAGGAAGCCAGTGAAAATTTCCAGAGTTCAGGTGCCTTTCTAAGACACATCAGCCTTCATGCATTCACAAAGGCAGCCAACGTGCGATGAGAAGACGAAAATGAATGACACAGGAGCTCACAGCTGATGGGAGGCTGGGAAACCAAGAGAGGATTAAAATACACTGTTCAGTA